TGTATAATTCATAGGGTTTTCAATGCCTGCCATCTGGATGTCACAGACTATGTCCTCAACTACTAGGTGAAAGGTTGGTGAGGTTGGTGGTTCAAACCCACCCAGAGGTGCTTTGGAAGATAGGCCTGGTGATCTGCTTCTGACAAGTCACAGCCTTGAAAACCCTATGGAGCAGTCCTACTCTGCATACATGAGGTCACCATGAGTCAGAGCTGACTGGATGGCAACTAACAAGTAACAAAAACATCTTACGGAAGTAGATTGCAAGGCCTTTCTTCTGGGTGCCACTGGGTGGATTTGAACTGACAACCTTTTGCTTAGTGGAAGATCCATGTCTCAAGCATCTGTGGTCTTGGTATTCGTTGGAGATCTCCATGTGTTTTAAGAATCTGTGGTCTCATTGTTCCTTGGAGATTTCCATGTATCTAGGCATCAATCTCCCCCTGGGTCTAGGAGATTCTTAGTGCAGGGACACCTGATACAAAGGTTGTGCTCCACTCCTGGTTCTTCTTTCTGGTGGTAGTCAAGTTCTCTGCCTGCTTCTCTCTCCTTCTATCTTTTGTAAGATAAAAAGTGATGCAAGGAAATTCCCCTTACATTGAGGAAGACTGGGACCTGAGTAAGGAGGGTGTTGCTTCCTACCTAAATCCCCTTACAACATATTGGCTGGTTACTTCAGATTATATAATGGAGGATGATTACATCATTACATAACTGCCAAACCATAAAGACCCATGGCCCAGCCAAGTTGACACACTTTATTTGGGGACACAATTCAATCCACAACACCAATGAACAGCCTTTACCTTGTTCTGATCATATGAAAATTACACACTGTAGAATCTATCATTTGATTCAATCCACAAAGGAAATATAGTTCAATGTCATTAACAATTTATTACTTGAAAGAAACTTTGTAAATGAAACAGCCAAATAGATTTTTTTAAAGTTTGTTTTACTTGCTTCCTTCTCTTCTTTTGAGTTATATTCCTTAGCCACTCTTTCTCAAATCCTATGTGAGCATCTTTTTTTTTTTTTTTTTTTAAACTTTCCTTTTTATTATACTGGATTATAGCTTCAAATATTTTTTTCATAGGATGTATATGTACACATCCATTCATTTTGTGTTCATAGTTGATTTTCTTTGTTTAGAACTGGAAGACATTACCCCTCTGTCTTCCATATTCCTGATGTAAGTCTGATTTTAGTTTTGTAAGTGATTTTTTTCTCATTGGAGAATTTTAAGATTTTCTCCTTAGAATTCTGAAATTTCAAAATGATCATTTAGATGTGATTCTTTTTTAAAGTCATCTCACTCAACACTAACTGGGGCCTTTATGATCTGAAGATTTCCATTCCTTCCATTATTTCTTTGATTATTTTTCCTCTCCACTCTTTTTGTGTTCTCCTTCTGACACCCTTTTAAACAGATTTTTGAAAATCTGAACCCAGTCCCTTTTTCTCATACTTTTCATCTCTTTACTCTTTACAGCAAGAATCCCTTAGGTTGATCTTCTGGTTTACTAATTCAGTCTTTAGCTCTGTTCATTCTGCTATTCAGCTCATCTATTAAATTGTCTTCAAAAAATTGTGACCATCATCTTTTGATCTCCAATAATCGTGATTGTTCTTTTTTTCTTTTTTGGTAGTAACTTGTTCATTTTTTTTTTTAATGAAAGTGGCATTCTCTTTTTGGTATTTTGTTTGTTTGCTTTTATTATAAAATACACATAACATAGCATTTCCCATGATAGCCATTTTAAAGGATTTAATTTAGTGTCATTATAGTACATTCACTTCTACCTACTTCCAGAAGTTTTTCATCACCCCAAATGGAAATCTTGTACTCATTAAGCATTCACTCCTCATCCTCCTCTTTCCTCAGTTGGTTATATTCTCTTGGATCTCTTTATTTTAAATTTCTTTGTTTCATGTGTCAATTCTGCTTTATTAGGATAATTCTTCTGTTTGCTTTGATTGGTTCCTCTCTTTCATACTGTTTTTTCTTTTTTCCCTTCCCCCCCATTTTTGGTGATTTTTGGTTATATTTTTATATTTGTAGATGAAAGTCTACAATGAACAATATTAATAGCCAAAGGGTATTTCCTCAGTCCAAGTGAGACTCCTGATTTTTAACCTGACAATGAATTTAAGTTATAATTACAAAAGATGTGGAAAGAATGATTGTGTGTATATACATAAGTCAGCGATGGGCTTATGTCTTCTGATTGGGATTTTTGTTGTTGTTGTTAAGTCTGTGAGTTGCCTTAGGGCCTTAGCCAAGAAAGATAGGCTCTTTCCTTTTTATTTATTTTAATTTTTGGTGAAAATATACACATCCAACATACCCCCATTCAACAATTCTTACATGAACAGATTAATGTCACTGGTTACATTCTTCATATTGTGTCACCATTCTCACTACCTTTACCCACATTGTTTTACCACCATTAACTTTTACTGTCTTCTCTTCTGCCCTTGAGTTACTGCTGTCAATTTGATCTCACACGGATAATTCTTCAAAAGATGTCAAATTTCAAGGCTGATGTTCTTTACTAATTGAGTTAAATTGTTTTGTTTACAGATGACTTCATGGGACAGTTTTGGCTCAAGGTTTAAAGATTATATCAGGACAATAGACTTGGGGGTTCTCCTAGTCTCAATTCAGTGAGTCTGGTTTCCACAGGAATTTGATCTTCTATTCTGTATTGCTCCTTTCTTATTGAAGTTAGGAATGGAAAAGAGGTAGTAAATATACCTATCTTAATCCCTTTTCATCTCCAGAATACATAAAATGATATACTGTTAAATACCTTTAGCATTTAAGATTTCCTTTTATAAGAAAGTTTAGGAAGACATCTGACATCTTTTGTGATATACTTATATGATTGTTGTTGTTGTTGTTGTGTTTGCCATCGAGTCAGATCCAAATCATAACGACCCCTCCTTGGGTTTCTGAGGTGGTATAGCTGCAGAAGTAGATTGTCCAACCTTCCTTCTGAGGAGTGGTTGGTGGGTTTGAACTGCCAGCCTTCTGGTTAGCAGCCAAATGCCTTAGGCACTACGCCACCAGAGCTTCCATACTTATATGTTAAGTTGTGATATTCTTATAAGAAATATTATCTAGATTCATTAAAGGAATATTGATTATTGGAGCAATATTAATATGTGACAGGATTCTACCCTGTTGATTTACTTTGAATAACAGATAGATAAAAATAATTAAAAGAACTACTGAAAGTCTAGTTTGATTTATATTAGAAAGATCATACACAAAATTATTCAGAAAAGGAATGATTTCATAGGAGAAAAGAAAATCAAGAGACAATTGGGGGTGAGTTAAGAATCTGTTTTGAGGAGTTTAGGCCAGGCCACAGAGAATTTGGGGGCAGTTGCTCTGATGCGTAAGAAATTAAATGAATCCCCCTTGGGCAATTTTTTAGGATTCTTCAGTAAAGATTTAAATACCTTTTTGATTTGTGTTTAGATATGTGACTGGTGTTTATTTTGAAAGTGGCATAGTTTGAGAAACTGGTGGTGGCAGCTCCCCTTTAGAGAGGTCACATCTATGTCTAGGCCTTCATGAGTACACTTTATTGGCAGGAGTCAGTTTTATGCTGTCTTGGTAATGCTGTCCTACAGCAGTCTTACAGTGTTGCTCAAAGTACAGTTTGGTATGAGGGGGATTAGCTGCTATCTGTGCTCCCATGCCAGCAGGTCTGAATCACAGTATATCGAAGCCATGGACAGGTTAATCATTTTTCATCATTCAAATATTTATTCAGTGTTATTAAGTGAGAAAAAAAATAATAAAAATTACATACCAATTCTTATATTCAAAATGAGTGATTTGTTTCATGGGGTTTTCCTAAACAAATATCTTTCTGGGAGAGTTATTAAACTTCTGTAACTTTAGATAATAAACCAGTTGCTCTCTCTTACTAGCAGTAGGCCATACATTATTCAGATACAGAATTTCATTTATTTGCACTTGACAACCCAGGTTTTTGGTCCCATGCTGATTGGTGTGGCCAAAGGCAAGCTCTAGAAAGACTCAAAGCTAGAGAGTAAGCCTCGTTAGGAATAGGTTTTCAACAAATATTTGTTATATGATTGAACAGAGACTGGTTAGCCCTGGAGTGAAGCTTTTTCTTCAGTTATGTAAGGAATTCTGTCTCTGTAGGAAGCCTGACTAATTGATGCCAAATTTTCTCATCATTCACTTGTTTTGTGCTCCTGAATGACTAGCTCCCCACACAGCTAATTCATCTATCTCATCTGTCTATGAGAATACTCCTTCTTGCACCGTGCAGCACACACTAGTCTTTTCTACAAACTATTAGGCACAGTAGTCATGCGAGCCACTGACTACACAACTTTCATTGTAATTTGGGTCTGAGTGTAAGGCGAGTAGCAGAATTGGCTCAGAGGGAAGAATTGAGCCAAATATCTCCCCCAAATCATAAATGAAATGAGATTGCCTCTACCATACTTCTATTTTTCTCAAATTTTTAAACAAGAAATATACTTGGTATAATAGGAAATTAATGTTTTCTTTAATTTTTTACAGAAATTGTATGACATTTTGGAAACCAACAGGCGAGATGCCATGAAAGAACTAGGTAGGTAGTTTGAATACCTGGTATCTCCAGATCACATCTTATTGTCCTATCGTTTAACCAAAAGAAGACAACTTCATTCTTTTATTTGCTTTCATTCATTAATTTTTTCATTCAACAAGCATTTATTGTACATATGATGGTCTAGGTATGGGAAAGCAAAGATGGATGGACCTGAACCCTTAGATAGTGCAGAGATGGTGGAGGGTTTGAGCATATTAATAGATAATTGCAGAAAGTTAGGAGTCCTCTTAGTTACTATGGGAGCATAGGGAAAAGAATATGGAGGAGTGTGGAGGGTGTATTAAGGTGGCAAGGTCAGAGGCCTTAAGGTTGTAAGAATTCTTCTGTTTGCTTTGTTTGGTTCCTCTCTTTCATACTGTTCCCCTCCCCCCAATTTTTGGTGATTTTGGTTATATTTTTATATTTGTAGATGAAAGTCTACAATGAACAATATTAATAGCCAAAGGGTATTTTCTCAGTCCAAGTGAGACTCCTGATTTTTAACCTGACACCCAAAGATCTTGGAAAAAAACTTTCTTTTGCATGGATTCTCAGGGATGTGAGGTTGCAAGAGATGCCATGGCTTGAGACTCTATAGTCACTCTTTACTTGAGTACTTGCTATACTTGAAGCACACAGCAAGAGACCTAGGACTTTATGTTGAGCTTCTCGGGTCTGTTTTTCTTATGAAAGATTTGTTGGCCAGGCTTTTGATGTGTATTAAAGTATCCAGTAAAAGGCATAGCAGAGGGTGGTGTTGTTGTTGTTGTTATGTGCTGTCAAGTCGGACCCAACTCATAGCGACCCCTCCTTGGGTTTCCGAGGCGGTATCACCATGGAAATAGATTACCCTTCCTTCTGAGGAGTATCTGGTGGGTTTGAACCACCAGCCTTCTGGTTAGCAGTCAAGTACCTTAGGCATTACGCTATAGGGTAGGCTCTCAATAAACGGAAGTTATTATTAAAAAAATAAAGTAAAATCACTTTGTATTCATAACCACAGTGTAAGATGCCATATAGATGCCATATGTAAGTATAGAGATCAAACTTCCCAAATCAGAATACTCTAATGAATGAAAGTGTAAGTTTGGAGACCATGGATCAGGATATTATCTCAGAAAATCCAAGACCTTTTGGTATTGTTTACATTTTGGCAGATTTTTATTTCTATGCTTTTAAAGATTAGGGGCCCAGGAACTGTTACCTTATAATATGTTTTGATCAGTATGGAATATTACAAAATTTTCTTGATTCAGACCTGTGAAAGGATTTCCATAGTGGAGATATGTGGAAGATTCCATGGAAGTAAAGCAGAGGGAATGATTACTTCTTCCTTGGTAAGGGAAGCCAGTTTTCAAAGGTTTCATCCATAAAAACCAAAAAATACCAAAGCCAAACCCACTGCCATCGAGTTCATTCTGACTCATAGCAACCCCCATTGGGTTTCCAAGGCAGTAAAGCTTTACAGAGGTAGAGTGCCCAGTCTTCCTTTCACTGAGTGGCTAGTGGGTGTGAACTGCCAACCTTCTGGTTAGCAGTGAAATGCCTTAGTCACTGCACCGTAATTGTAGTTCTACTGGCCTCACAAGTTTTGTGTGAAACTAGCATAAAAGGGTGCTTGTGCAAATAGTTTGGAAATTCAAAAACATTATACAGGTTTTATTATGATTATGCCATCAGTTGTTTACCAGTGGCTTTATTTGCTTCAGGACACATAGAGCATGAGGGGCGTGATGTTGTCATCGCTTTGAAGTCTAAGCAAGCAATCCAGAATGTGATTTGTAAAGCTCAGAAAAACCTTACCTTCCTTTGGTCAAGAGGTATTATTGATAAACATGAAGGCATCGAAATAAATAAGGTAATAAAGCAACTGCCTATATCACTGTATCTGCAATCCAATCTCTTCATGCCATCAACTTAATACCCAGCCTGGATTGTTACCTTAGTAGTCGTAAGGCATGACAAATATTGGAAAAAGAGTGATTAGCCGCAGGTGTTAAACCCTGTAACTGCCTGAAGCTTTTATTAATGCCAGTGGAAATTTTTTAAATTACCTGGTCCACTCTATTAGTCAAAACTAGATGTTGCGAGTAATATGATTTCTCTGTGGTGTCCGTCTATGGGAGAATAGAGCTATTTTACAGTGTTCTGTAAGTTACACGTCTACACATATCGTATATATAATTTTGTCTTTTACTTTTTCACTTATCACTTTGAAGGCTTTGTAAGACTCAACTGATTATTTGATATTAGTTAAAATAAATGAAGAATAGCCTTTATGAGGAGAGGGACTTAATTTTTCCTATCGCGTTCTTTAGAAAGGTATTGGGTGAATCAATTATTTAGTAAGCACTTATTGAATGCCTACGAACTGCTGAATTTCAGCAAAAGAAATATAGTTATCAATCCCAGGTCATAAGGGGCTTGCAAAATATATTTAATAGTTACTACAGGCCATGGGCTCTGAGAGGGGCTTGGGATACATAGGGTGTACAACACTGACCCTAAAATCCACAGGCTCTTCCTCATTCTTTCATTCAGTCATTTATTCCTCTAACTTAAAAAAAAAAAATTACATACTATGAAAGAGGAGACAGAGAAGTGAAAGTATTGTTACTACCATGTATTGAGTTCCATAATGGAGATGTGTAGGAGAAGCCATGGGAACAAAGCAGAGACAGTGATTAGTCTTTCTTGGCTGATGGGGGAAGCCAGACAAGGCTTCCCAGAGTCCACAAGGCTAGAACTATCCTCCCAGATTAGAAGGATTTCTAGAAACAAATCATACCCATGATAAAAAAAAAGAGAGAGAGAGAAAGAGAGAGAGAGAGAGAGAAAAAAAACATGGCATTAAATCATTTAGTAATCAATTGTGCAGTTTAGATAATTTGAGATTAAGAAAAAGTAGAATGCAGTGTTAACTGGATTATAAAAATGATAGACTCCAATTGTTGAATGGAAAACATTTGCTCTATAAACTTTCACTCAAATAACAATAATAATAAACAAAAAGACTCAGCTTGAATTAATATACTAAGGAAAATAGTAAGAAGGGGAGAATTAAGACAAAAAGGTTTGATTATTTAAATGCGGTATGAGAAGCTGTTAGGTCAAAATTAAGGTTAAAACTGCAGAACAGTAGACTCTCTTAAAAAACCAAAGGCAAATCTGATCACCATCTTTTAAAATATTTTGAACTTTAATATTTTATTGGTAGACTTTAATTTTTAGAACAGTTTTAGATTCACAGAAAAAAATTGGACAGCACAGAGAGTTCTCTTATACCCCCCCACAGATGCACAGTGTCCTCTATTCTTGACACCTTACATTACAATTGCATATTTGTTGTAACTAATGAACCAATATTGATACATTATTATTATTAACTAAAGTCCATAGTTTATTCAAATTTATTTAGTTTTTGCCTAATGCCCATTTTCTGTTCCTGGATCTGATCAACGTTATTTTGATTGTTCGTAGGTACTTCTTAAAAAAATAAAAGCACTGAATAATTTTCCAGTGGCAATCCCACCTCCTACTCCTGACAAATATCTTCATAACATCATTTGGCTGGAAAATAAAGAGATTCTCACTGATTTTTTCAAGGTAAAGCTTTTGTTTTCTATTCTTTCCATTCCTTCATGCAAGATGAACAGAAAACCATTTGCAAAGCACGAATTCTGTACTAGTCAACAGAATAAACCAAAAGAGAGGCCCAGAATCTCCTTTACTCTCCATACCTATGCAGAGCTGTTAGACTTTCTCTACCCCTTATGAATATCACTCAGCCTTTAAAGTGCCCTTTCCTTACTATGGAGACCCTGGGTGGTACAAATGGTTAAAACACTCAACTGTTAACCAAAACATTGTTGGTTCAAGTCCACCCAGTGGTGCCTTGGAAGAAAGCCCTGACAATCTACTGGAAAAAAAAAATCAGCCATTGAAAACACTGTGGAGCACAGTTTTACTGTGACACACATGAGGTCACCATGAGTTGGAGTTGACCCAATAAGAAATGGTAGTTATTTCTTAATATGAATGGTTCTTGATAGCCATTTGTAAGGAAAATAAATAAATAAATGGCGTGGTTTTTGAACACCTTTATGCAATGTCGGCTACTGAGGGCCTCAGGAAAGACCTGTTGACAGCAGGTTTCTGGATGTCCTGTATCTGCATTTTGATAAACATAGGGACCCTGCAGTCTCAATCCTCATAGCAGACAAGATGAATGGCATGAGGAGATGTCTCCCTGGGAAGATGGTCATTCATCTAGGCCACAAAACAACAGAAAATTTAACTTGATGCTGACCAACCTCCAACACCATCTTCCCTACAGATAAATTTTGACAATCTTGTGGAATGGCTCAAATATGGCTATACATGATTATTAAAGGTTTTTAAATCTGCAGCACAATATAAGATACTAAAAAGCAAAACATATGGCATTATGGTGTTTGATCTCCTCTAACTTCAGGGGCAGGAGAGAGAGAGAGAATCACCATCAACATCAGCCCAAGACCGATTCCCATGAGGTATAGATCAGATATATGTACTCTGTTGAAATTTTTTACCAATTCTGACACCAGTCATCCCTCCCACAGTACTCTCTACTTCTCTCCTGGGTTTGATAATTTGTTGCAATGGCCACACAGGACTCACAGTTATGGGGTTTATTAGAATACAGGTACAACTTGGGGTCAGCATCAATAGATTACAACTCTACATCAGGAAGCATGTAGGCTTCCTCAGTGCAGGACATTTCTCTCAACTTCTCTTGGTCAGGCAAGGTTCCCCTTGGCTGCCTGAAGACAAGCTCCCCTCAGCCCCCTGAGGACAGGCTGTCCTCTTGGCCCTCTCAGGACAGGCCTCTTCTCTCAACCCTTGTTCCCTCAGCCCTCAGCCTGGCTTCTGCCTGGCTTCTGCCCTGCTTTGGCAAAGCTTTTTAGCTCTGCCAATAAGTGCCTAGAGGCACACTACTCTGCCAGCAAACTTCCTGCACAAAGGTGTTTGGCTTTTTGTTCTGTGTCAGTGTGCCCACTATAGTCGCCTCACTCCATAGGCTGGGAAGCCCAGTGCACTATCTTGTGCCAGTCTCCTGGTTCTGCTAATACTGGTTCTCTGCCATTGGACTCTGCCATGCTTGACACCACTTCTCTCAGTCTTTCATCTTCTCTGGTGTTACAGCTCTGTCTTCTGAGTCTAAGAGGTTCTCAGCAAAGGGACCTTGGGTCTAAAGGACACACTCCACTCCTCTCTCTTCTTTCTTGATGGTAGTGAGGTCCCATCTTCCCATCTCTGGGATGGCTTATTTTAAGCCCAGCAGGATGGAAAAACTGACCAATTTCCTTGTTAGGGTTCCATACAACTTATTTGCATTGTCCCACTCCCACAGAGTTCCATGCAGCTTATTTGCATTATTACCATGCTTTCCATTCCCTTTGGTGGGACACAAGAACCTTATTTACGTAGTTCCACCCACTCATTGTATAGGTGTCACAAAGACTATGACTGTTAGTTGTTAGGTGCTGTTGAGTCAGCTCTGAGTCATAGTGACCCTATGTACAACAGAATGAAACACTGCCCGATCCTGTGTCAGCTTCACAATCCCTGCTAGACCTGTGCCCATCATTGCAGCCACTGAGTCAATTCACCTCATGAGGGCTGTGGTAGTTCAGTTTGCGTGTCAACTTGACTGGGCCTGGTTGAGTGGCTGGGCAGCTAGATGTAGTGTTCTCCATGATGAGATTGGTAATTAACTCTTGGTGGAATCTACTGTGAGCAGCTCGAGTAGCTGCCTTAGGGAATGTGGTCTACTTCCTGTATATAAGCAGAAGCCTTGGGAAATGGCATGTTGGGACCTTGCATGTAGCCATGTCATTGTTCAGCAGCCTGCCATGCTCTGCCAACCTGGGGACTTACAATGGACTTGAATTAATGGCCTGCCATGTGGTTTGGTAACATTGGGACTGTGCCTTTTTACTTGTCAACTTTGGGCTTGGCAGCCTCAGCAGCCAGCAGCTGTCTGAGCGAAGAAAAGCCTCTGTCTTCAGTGGGCCGAGAGCTGGAGGCAGAGCTGAAGCCCAAGGTTGAGGGGCTTTCACCCAGCCCCTAGAGCTTGGCACTTTGAACTTGGACTTAAAGCCTCCAAATTGTAAGAAAAAAACTCCTGTTTGTTGAGGCTATCCCATTTGTGGTGTATTCTTGTCAGAGTGGCACTAGGTAGCCAGAACAAGGGCCTTCCCCTTTTTCCCTGACCCTCCACTTTACCAAGCATGATATCTTTCTCCAGGGAATGGTCCCTTCTGACAACATGACCAAAGTAGGTGAGACAAAGTCTGGCCATTTTCACTTCCAAGGAACATTCAGGCTGCACTTCCTCCAGGACAGATTTGTTAGTTCTTCTGGCAGTCCATGGTACTTTCAGCATTCTTCCCCAACTCAGAAGCATTAGCTCTTCTTCCTTATTCATTGTCCAGCTTTCACATGCGTATGAGGCTATAGAAAACACCATGGCTTGGGTTAGGCTCACCTTAGTCTTCAAAGAGACATCTTTGCTCTCCAGCACTTTAAAGAGGTCCTTTGCAGCAGATTTGCCCAGTACAATGTGTCATCTGATTTCTTGACTGTTACTTCCATTGGTGTTGATCATGGAACCAAGTAATATGAAATCTTTACAACTTCAATCTTTTCTCCATTTATCGTGATGCTGCTTATTGGTCCAGTTATGAGGATTTTCGTATTCTGTATGTTGAGGTGTAATCCATACCACAGACAGTAGTCTTTAATCTTCATCAGTTAAGTGCTTCAAGTCATCTTCACTTTCAGCAAGCAGGGTTGTGTCATCTGCATATCACAGGTTGTTAATGAGTCTTCCTCCAATCCTGATACCACACTCATCTTCATATAGTCCAAACTGTAAGAGAATAAACTCCTGTTTGTTGAGGCCATCCCATTTGTGGTATATAGTCCAGCTTCTCTGATTATTTGCTCAGCAAACAGATTGAATAAGTATGGTGAAAGGATACAGCCCTGATGTACTCCCTTCCTGATTTTAAACCATGCAGTGTCCCCTTGTTCTGTTTGATTGACAGGCTCCTGGTCTGTGTACAGGTTACTCATGAGCCCAATTAAGTGTTCTGGAATTCTCATTCTTCTCAATGTTATGCATAATTTGTTATGATCCACACAATCAAATGCTTTTGCATAGTCAATAAAACACAAGTAAACATCTTTCTGGTATTCTTTGCTTTCAGCTAAGATTTATCTGACACCAGCAATGCTATCCCTTATTCCATGTGCTCTTTTGAATCCAGCCTGCATTTCTGGAAGTTCTCTGTCACTATTCTACTGCAACTGATTTTGAATTGTCTTCAGTAAGATTTTAACTTGTGTGCAATATTAATGATATTGTTTGATAATTTCCACATTCTGTGGGATCACCTTTCTTTGGAATGGGTACAAATACGGATCTCTTCCAGTCAGTTGGCCAGGTGGCTGCCTTCCAAATTTCTCAACATCGATTAGTGAGTGCCTCCAGTGTGGCATCTGTTGCAACATCTCAATGGGTATTCTGTCAATTCCTGTAGCTTTATTTCTCATCAATTCTTTCAGTGAAGCTTTGACTTCTTCCTTCAGTACCATTGGTTCTTGATCATATGCCACCTCCTGAAACAGATGAACTTCGACTAATTCTTTTTGGTACAGTGACTCTGTCTATTCCTTCCATTCTCTTTTGATGTTTCCTGCATCATTCAGTATTTTGCCCATAGAATCTTTCAACATTGTAACTCAAGGCTTAAAATTTTTATTCAGTTCTTTCAGCTTGAGAAATGCTGAATGTTTTCTTCCCTTTTGGTTTTCTAGCTTCAGGGTTTTGCACATTTCATTATAATAATTGGTTTTGTCTGCTCAAACTGCTCTTTGAAATCTTCTGTTCAGTTCTTTTATCTTGTCATTTCTTCCATTTGCTTTGTTGTTGTTATGTGCCATCAAGTCAGACCCGACTCATAGCCACCCCCCCTTGGGTTTCCAAGGCAGTATCACTACGGAAGTAGATTGCCCCATCTTCCTTCCGAGGAGTAGCTGATTGGTTTAAACTGCCAGCCTTCTGGTTAGCAGTCAAGTGCTTTAGGCACTATGCTACCAGAGCTCCTGTAAACATTTACTGATGATTAAATTAATTACTGTACTAGGCACTAATCACAAGGTCTACAAAAAGTTTATTTAAGGAGTCCTAGTGACACAATAGTTAAGTGCTTGGCTGCTAACCCAAAAGTTGGTAGTTCCAGTCCACTCAGTGGATCTCTGCAGATCCACCCAGTGATCTGCTCCCATAAAGATGATCAAAACCAAACCTATTGCTATGGAGTCAATTCTGACTCATAGTGACCCCATAGGACAGAGTGGAACTGCCCCATAGGGTTCCCAAGGCTGTGAATCTTTATGGAAACAGACTGCTACATCTTTTACCACAGAGCTTGTGGGTTCAAACTGCTGACCTTTTGTCTCATAGCCAAATGCTTTAGCCACTGTGCCACCAGGGCTTCTTCCATAAAGATTATAGCCTAGAAAGCCTTATGGGGCAGTTTTACTCTATCACATGGGTCACTATGAGTAAAAAATGGGCTCAAATGTCACCTAACAGCAATAGTTTATTTGCTTCTCCCTTTCTTTCTAAAAGTTGATATGGTGTGTCAGCAGATTATAGTTCATTAATAAACAAAATATACTATAGTTTTTGCTTTTATGTTACTTGAAAACCATTTTTAGCTTTTAAATCTTCTTTCCATTAGAAAAGTAGACTTCAGAGTTTTTAAGTTGACTCTCCTTTTCTTTCTTATCTTTTAGAAAAAAGCCAAACTTGCATGTTTTGATTATGGAGATATCATATACAAAGAAGGAGAAATGCCTCAAGGAATCTACTTAATTATTTCAGGAATGGCAATTGTAAGGGACTCTTTTTTTTTAATGAAAACATATTTTGGAATATGTAATTGTAACACAGGGGAAGTTTTAAGAATCAAGAAAATTTCAAAATTTTTAACTTTTCCAAATGGCTGAAACCATTTCTGCTCAGAGTGAACACTACAGCTGAGGGATAATGATAATAGCCAACATCTAAAAGCTTCACATTTTATAAAATGCTTCAGACATGACTTAGTTCTCACAACAATTCTGAGTGGAAATGTTATTTTTCATGATCCAGACAAAGCAACCAATAATTGGAGTGGTTCTATTACTCGCTTAAAGGAAATGAGAGTTTCAGGAATAAGAGAGTGGGCCACAAAGTTAGATACTCAGGGACGTAGAGTAGGATGAGGATTGAAAATACAACTTTTGAGCTGATCAAGGGGAAGCTTCTGGTGGTGAGTGAAAGAGACAGAGCAAAAGAGAGAGAGAAAAAAAAAAAGGGGAGAGAGAGCTATTGCAGTAGAATGACAGGGACAAAAATTCTTTAGTATCTGAACTTTGGCAGCTAAATACATTGGTGACTCTCACCTATGACCTTCAAAATTCCTAGATCCTAGAAGATAAGTCATAACTCTTATTATAGGTCAAATAATAAATGATATATTTGACTTTCCATTTTTGGAATGGGTATTGCAGACCTTAAAAATATAAAAATTGATCATGGAAATAAATTATTATAACAAATATATTAAAATACTAAGTAACAAGGAAGTGGGTGGTGCAGGCTATTTATGATTGTCTGCTAACCATAACATTGGCACCCAGTGGAGTCAAGGAAGAATTCCTGGTGATCTTCTTCCATAAAGATTATAGTCAAGAAAAGCCCATGGGGCAGTTCTACCTTGTAACATGTAGTGTTGCCATGATTTGGGGGCAATACTACTTACAGATACTAAGTAACACACATATTGAAAAAGAAAAATACCAATTGCCATCAAGTCAACCTTGACTAATGATGACCCCACCTCCTGGAGAACCCCATGTGTGTCAGAGTAGACCAGTGCACCATGGGATTTCAGTGGATAATTTTTTGGAAGTGGATTGCCATGCCTTTCTCTAGCACTGTTCTAAGCACTTTTTATTCATTCATTCACTCATTTACTCAGCAAATATTCACTTTGTTCCTACCATGCAGCCAGCATTATTCATTCTAGGCCTAGGACTGACAAAGCAGACAAAAATTCTTGTCTTCCTGGAGCTTACATTCTAGTGGAGAGATGGAGGGAGATGGGCAGAGAATGAATAAAATAAATAAATAAAATATATAACATGCCAGAGGATGTAGAAAGAGATGAGAAGGCTAAAGGCAACATGTTTGACATTTAAGCCTTATAACAACTCTGCCTTTCACATAAGAAAACTGATGTGCAGAGAAATTAATTCACTTGCTCAAGGGCATATAATAGGAGGCCAAGAAGGGTTTTGAACCCATGTTGTCTGCCTCCAGTATCAAGGTGCTTGGCCATTATGCTATATTGCTTCTCCTGTTTAGAATCATAATAAGAATATACAGCTACCAAGCCAAAAAAACTCACTACTGTCAAGCCAGATCTGACTCACAGCAACCCCTCCTTGGGTTTCCGAGACGGTATGACTACGAAAGCAGATTGCCCAACCTTCCTTCCGAGGAGTGGCTGGTGGGTCTGAACTGCCAGCCTTCTGGTTAGCAGTCCATAGTGCCTTAGGCACTATGGCACCAGTATTTATTAACTATATCAAATCAAACACTTAAAAAAAAAAAGGCTGTAACATACACGTTCTTTTGGAGGAATTTTTATGCACTGGTTGGCATAGCTAAGGCTTCTTAAAATATAAGTCCAATGGTATTTGGGCTGAAGATGTATTCACTTTTTGTTACTGCCAAAATAAATTACCACAGATTTAGCAGCTTTGATTTCTGATTTCACAGTCAGAAGTTGATTGGTTTTTCTGCTTGAGTCTCACCAGCTGATATCAAAGTGTTGGTACTGCTCTGTCTGAATCCAGTTCCTTGATGCTTGGTATGGCTTGAATTGTGTCCCTCTAAAATATGTGTCTACCAGCCACTCCTCGGAAGGAAGGTTGGGCAATCCTACTTCCGTAGTGATACTGCCTTGGAAACCCAAGGAGGGGTCGCTATGAGTCGGGGCCGACTCGACGGCAAATAACAACAACAAAATATGTGTTGGAATCCTCACCTCTGTACCTGTGACTGTAATCCCATTAGGGAATAGAGTCCTCTTTGTTATATTAATGAGGCCACATCAGTGTAGGGTGTGTCCTAAACCTAATCACTCTGAGTGATATAAAGATGAGCATGGGCATAGAGAAGTGAGCACAACCCGGGAAAGACAGATATCACGTGAGGATCACCAAGGAACACTGGGGCCACAGACTCTGAGACAAGGACCTTTCCCTAGAGCTCACAGAAAGAGAGCCTTTCCCTAGAGCTGGTGCCCAGAATTCAGACTTCTAGCCTCCTAAACGGTGAGGAAATACATTTCTGTTCTTTAAAGCCCCTCACTTGTGGCATATTGCTTATGACAGCACTAAGAAACTCGGACCCTGCTCTAGGACAGTGTGGTAGTTAAGTTTGTGTGTCAACCTGGTTGAGTGGCTGGGCAGCTGGATGTAGTATTCCCTGTGATGAGACTGGTAATCAGCTCCATGATGGAATTTTTGTGAGCAGCTGAATAGCTGCCTTTTGGTATGTGGTCCACTTCCTGTATATAAGAAACAGCTTTGAGAATGGTTTCTAGCATATGGCACACTTGAACCCTGCGTGTAGCTGTGTCATTGTTCAACAGCCTGCCATGCTTTGCCGACCTTGGGACTTCCAGTGACTTGAATTAATGGCCTGCCGTGTGGTTTGGTAACATCAGGACTATGCCCTTTTACTTGTCAACCTTGGATTTGTCAGCCTCAACAGTCAGGAGTTGTCTGAGTGAAGAAAAGCATCTAGCTTCAGTGGGCCCCAGGGTTACAGGTGAGGAGAGACAACTCAGGGA